AGAAGTTGAGAAGGAATTAACGTCCATACCTGTTACGTTAAGAGTGGGAGATACAGAAGAAATCGAGATGTCCCAACTAACCACACGGAATTATTCAATCTTGGTAGGAATGAATCAGGACGAAATATCTAAATGGAAAAGGGCATACGACAAAGACCCTCATTTTAACTCAGTCTTGAAGGCTATGAGAGAGGACAAAGATGACAGCATACCTTTTCCGCAATATCATTACTCCGATAATGGACTCCTATATTTTGAGGACAGTCTGGGCAATACGAGGATGTGTGTACCGAAGGAGCTAAGGAACAAGGTCATGTCCGAGAACCATGACATTATTTCGGAGTCCGCTCAGAGCGGATACTATAAGACATACAACAGGATAAGCGGCACATATTATTGGCCTAGGATGTCTAGAGAAATTAAAAGTTTTGTGAATACGTGCGATGTCTGTCAGAAGACAAAGCCGAGAAGACACGCGCCTCTGGGATTACTCCAACCTATACCCATTCCATCTCAGCCGTTTGAAGTGGTGATGATGGATTTTATCCCTGAACTTCCGACATCAAACGGATGCGATAACATACTAGTTATTGTCGATAAACTCACCAAATATGCAATCTTCATCCCTACAACAACAAAAATCAGCGAAATCGAAACAGCTAGAATGTTCTTCAAACATGTTATAGCTAAATTTGGAATACCTCGGCAGGTTATTTCAGATCACGACACACGTTGGCGCGGAGATTTTTGGAAAGAGGTATGTCGATTAATGGGGATGAAGCGATCCCTGACGACATCGTATCACCCGCAAGTGGATGGGCAGACTGAAGTGATGAATCAGGGTCTTGAGATCTCGATCCGCACCTACATCGGCCCTGAGCGGGATGATTGGAGCGATCTTTTGGACGTCCTAGCGTTATCTTACAATACTTCACCTCACACCGCTACAGGCTTCAGCCCAGCTTATCTCTTACGAGGATATCATCCCATAACTGGATCGACACTACTCATGAGCCCACGACTGATAAGGAGGGACGACTTACAAGAAATTTACATCGAACATGAGGCGCTTGATGAGAAGGCGTTACACATGACCTAAGCATTTGAGGCTGAGCACAGGAAGGCACAAGATGCCTTACTTCTGGGTCAGGTATTCCAAAGAAAGGCTTATAACAAGGATCGACTGACCTGGGAATTTCAGGAAGGTGACAAAGTCGTCACCAATCGAAAACATCTAGGTCTTCTTAGGAATGAAAAAGGATGAGGGGACAAGCTTCTCACCAAATACGAAGGGCCATTCGAAATCATCCAGAAGATAAGTTCAGTCTCATATCGTCTACGCATGCCTGCGTCTTTCGGTATGCACCCAGTACTTAACATTGAACATTTAGAAAGATACCACGACTCCCCTAAGGAATTTGGTGAGAGACCCAAAATAAAGATGAATCGAATGGACTTCGAAGAATTACCTGAATATCAGGTGGACCGCATCGTGGCCGAATCATGGCATAAAGGCAGGAATGGCAGGCGTATACCCATTTATCGGGTACACTATACAGGGTATGGTCCTGAAGCCGACACTTGGGAGCCACGACAGAATTTGAAAAACGCCCCAGTCGTGTTGCAGGAATGGATTAACAACAAGGCGTCCCGATCTAGGAAATCTAAACAACTAAAATGAATGAGAAAAAATCTATTTAAGCCGTGCGTCTATCACTTTTCTCTATTGCAATATTTCATTCCCTCTCTCCCTCAAAGACATTGTTTCTTCTCTTAAAAACACCTCAACTCTTCTTTCTACGATGCAGACCATTGAAACCTACACTCCGTCTCTCCCCAACCTTCACCTCGTTCCTTTTCAATCAGCGAACACCGCCGTCAACAACGTCCATCCTCTCAACTACCGTCTCACAGCCGACGACTTCATCACCCTTACCTTGCCCAGCGGACAACTCTTGTACGCGCTTGATCCGGCTACTGGCACCTCCCTGTGGTGGGCGTTACGACGTGTCGCACGAGTTATAACACGCGCAGCCACGCACTCCATTCCCTTTGATCCATCTTTACCCATTGCGCAACGTGCATACATCCCCCAGTTTCAATTTGACCGCATCGCGATGCAGTGACCCGCCATCCTGTCAACCTTGAACCCTGACTGCATGAACCCTCTTTACGGGTATACGTCACAGGAAAATATCCAGGCGTGGTTTACGGATTTCCAAAGCATGGGGCGGCAGGCAGTACAGTGGATCCGCACCGCACGCCTTCAGTCGGCCTGCTTAGGGTTACACTCAGGCTGGAACTGGGAGGTGGCGTCCCAGGACGCCTTGAGCTTAGATTATCCTAACCGATACCTCCTCAAGGGGCCCGAGGGTACACAACCAACTTTCAGAATTATTTTTCTCTCATTCATTGAAACAATAGGTCATATTGATCCTGTTTCATACGCTCTCCCTTCCGCCTACAGTCCATCTGTCGCCGATTGGTCAAGCGACACCTCCAGCATCAGCTCCAATTCTGACGAAGACGTCAACATGGAGGATGCCGAGCTTGGTAAGAGCCAAAGATTTCAATTAGGATTTACATTGAGATACTTGTCAGGTAATAGGTCTCTCGTCCTGCACCCACTGCTCTCAGCATATGCCACACGATACCGGGATTACGACGTGTTTAGCAAGGTACCTTTGATTGACAATGGGTACATCGATTCTCGCAAGGCCGGCGATCTCACTCCCTATGTTTCTGCATTATCCCCCATCGAATCTACCACGTTCCGAATTCTTTCACTTCCAATTTACGATGATTACGACAACTAGGGCGTATTCGAACTTCAAGGACAGGGGGGGGTATGTTAGGGTACCATCTCAATACTTGTCCTTTTATTCTCATTTTGGCTCATTTTGGCACATTAAACCTTTTGTCTGTTTCTGTATTACCTGACTGGTATTTACTAGTTGTACTCACGTCCACTATTACATAAGTAGTTGTATTCTGTGGGTATTGTACTTGATGTGTCGACAAACACGTTCAAACACAAACTCCTTTCATGTGTTGTACACTTGTTTGGTTTGCAAGTCGTTGTTAGGATCACAAGTCTTCGTTAGGATCGGAAGTCTAACCAAACATATCTGAACAAGAGAAATGTTTGTAAACAAGAAGATGGAATATTGTAGCAAGGATAAGAACAATCTAGATACTTCTCAAATACTATTGTACTTGTATTTAAATAGAGTGAAATGCTAGAAGTAAGGTATCTTACTTTTAACCCCAACTTTACCAGTTCCTTGAACTAAGGTGTTTCTTGAGTGAATTGATAAGGCTACACGCTATCAATTAACTCGGACCAATCGTTAAGGCTTCGCGCTAACGATCGCAGTCCTCAAGCAATGCAAACAAAGTACGGTTAAAGACTCTCGACGTTTCTAGGAAACCCCCCTTACTCTTTACAACTCAATCATATCATATCTGACTCTACGTACAATTACTCTAGTCTTGTTTACTAGTGTTTGTATTCACAGGAATACACCAACGTAGAGCGTCGAACTCTAACAGGTGTTTGAGGTTGAGACTGAAGGTGCTGCGGGGGATGTCTCCATCAGGGTGTTTGACATTGAAATTGAAGGTGCCACAGGGGATGTCTCCATCAGGGTGTTTGTCATTAAAATTGAAAGCACCGCAGAGGATGTTGCCGTCGGGGTGTTTGAGGTTGAGATTGAAGGCACTGTCAGCAATGGCCCCATCAGGGTGTTCGACATTGAAATTGAAAACATGACCTCCACAATATGGTCATCTGTGGCATGATCTTGAATACGTCAAGTTAGCAGAGCACTTTATTGACTGTGGCAGAGCATTTGATTGACACTGACAGGGAATTGAGAATTCAAAATGTTGACTCCCGCGGGGCATTTGATTGACTCCGACAAGGCATTCAAAATTCAATATGTCAGCTCTGACAAAGCATTTATTCAAGATAGAGGAGTCAATCCACTACAGCATTTTTAAGCTGGTGCCCAGATCATCCATCCATGTGAACTGAAACATGCAATGGCTTGGAATATGTGATTTTCAGAAACAAGAAATATATTGTCAAGAAATCAATGCACAATATCAATGAAAGGTCCTGCTAGTAGCCATGACAAATCCTCATAATACAAAAGAAAGATCCACTGAATTGGAGGTCAGATAGTTGAGGTGTGCACCATTTAGTTTTTAGAAGTAGAACAACTCTGGCAGCCTGCCTTACCAAATATGGGCCAGTGGCAACCTAATATGGAAGGAGCGCATTATTCACACACCATCTGAAACTACACACTGTGCTGCGCTCATTGGCGATGCAACACGCCAACAAAACAAAGACATTGGGGGGATCCCAGAAAGGAATAGAATCATTTGGAATAGCTTTCTCAGTGATTGAAGAAGTTTTTGTGAACAGACCTTGGAAAGAGCTATTTGGTGCATGAATCTTTATACCAACCAGTTGCACAACATGCCATTTTGCATACATCAAGTTATTTTTTTTTTTCTTCCCTCACAACTGCTTCCCCCACCTATCTGAATTGAT